GACTGCATCACAGATTTTTGCATAGTATATCTAGAATATCTCTTTTTGTCTAGGAAAGTATTTTGTATAATAGACATGGCTGAACTTATTTTGCTTAAGTGAGCACAGTGGGGAAACAATGCCTTAAGAGAAGCTGACCCAGAATAGTTCATGATTCCTTGAATAACAAATCATCCAAAAGGCAGGGAGTCTATTTAGGGATGCTCTGAATCATGTCTTCATAACATCCAGATGGAAAAATAGGAGCAGATTCTGCCTTGTACTTTGCCTCTTTTAACAAAAGTCCTTCAAAAAGCAGGAGCTAAAGAGGTTACTGACTATTAAGCTACTAAATATATTTCACCTAACAATTTTCTTATCAGGTAATTTCTCAAAGGAATTTATAAGCTGATATTGCTGTCAGCTTCTAAAAAATTAGGTATAATTATAAAATGGCTAACCATAAGAGATTTAGTCATTTTAATGGTAGATAAAACATAGAGCAATTAGCAAAAGTAGTTTTACAGTTTTGAGTATGTGAAACATAGATTTTATTCTTGTATTATTATTTATTATTATATATTTTCAATATGAACAACCATAAACCTAAAAGTAGATTTACTATAAAACCTACTTGTAGGTTTACAGTTGTTCAATGACTTTTTAGATATGATTCTAAAAGCAAAATCTACTAGAGAAATAGTTGATAAACTGGTAGGTGAACAATATCTTAAGAGAATGAGAAGACAATCAACAGACCGGTAGAAAATATTTATAAAAACCTATCTGGGAAAGAACCTGTAACCAAAAATGCATAAAGAATTCTTAAAATTCAACAAGAAGAAAACAAACAACCTGGTAAAAAAAGTAGGCAAAAGACCTGAACAGGCACCTTATCAAAAAGATAAGCACATGTCAAATAAATGTATGAAAGTACACCCATTTTCTGTCACTAAGGAATTGAAAGTTAAAACAATGAAGAGATAGCACTGGTGTCTGCATTTAGAAGGATCAGCACCTGAAACTCCAATGACACAAAGTGCTGATGAGGATGTGAGGCACCAGGAACCCTCGTTCTTTGCTGGAAGCAGCACAACATGGTGCAGTCACTTTGGAGGATAGTTTGGCAGTTATTTAAAAACCAAACATACTTTTACCATATGTTCCAGGGATCGTACTCCTTGGTATTTATCCAAAACAAGTGAAAGCTAATATCTACACAAAAACCTGCACATAAATGTTTATGGCAGCTTTATTGGTAATTGTGAAACTTGGAAACTACCAGGTTGTTCTTTAATAGGTGAATGCCTAAATTAACAGTGGCACATCCAGACAGTGCAGTATCATTCAGCGCTAAAAAAGAAGTCAGCTGTAAACCATGAAAACACATTGTGGAACTCTGATGTTGGGGAACCTGCTCATATCTAGAAGTTAAGTAGAATATGGAAAATCTCTGTACCTTCTGCTCGAATTTGTTGTGAAACTAAACTTGTTCTAAAAAATAAATTTTCTTTAAAAAAACAAAGGAAGTAAAATGATACACTAGGAAAGATCTACTGAACACAAAAGAAGGCAATAATGGAGGAGTGGAGAACACAACAGAGCTAAAACATATGGAAAACAAATAGCAAAATGGGAGAAGTAAGTCCTATATTATCAGTATTTGCATTAACTATAGATGAAATGAACACTCTAATTAAAAGGCAAGATTCACAGAATGGATTTTAAATCATCCAACTCTATGCTGTCCATAAGAGAAATGCTTTAAATTCAAAGATACAAATCCTTTAAAAGTTAAATGATAGAAATTAAGCTGGCACATAACAACCCAGAAAGAACAGGAGTGACTGCACTAAGGTCAGAGAAAATAGACTTTAAAACAAACGTTGTTACTAGAGACAAAGAAGAATATTATATAATAATTAAAGGGCTTATGGAGTCACTCCACTAATAAAAGATAACAGTTATGAACACGTTTACACCTTATATCAAAACCCTAAAATATATGAAGCTAGAGCTGCAGCCTTGAAAAGAAAAATAGACAGTTTAATGACAATAGTTTGAAATTTTGACACTCCACTTTCTATATTGGGCAGAGCTAGCAAGGAAATCCACAAAGAAGCAGAAGATTTGACAATACTGTAAATGAACAGACGTGTGTAGTGCACTCCACCGAGCCACAGAATGCACAATCTTCTTAAGTACATGTGAAATATTCTCTGGGAAAAGCTATATGTTCAGCCATAAAATGAATCTCAATACATTTAAAAGAACTGAAATTATATAAAGTATGTCTTCTGACCACAACAGAATAAAATTAGAAATTAGTAACAAATAAATTTGGGGGAAATTCTCAAATAAGAAAGAACATTTAAAAATATATTGAACTTTTAAGTTTAAAATCTAACTGGAACTAAAATTGAAAGGTTTGAGTAGAGGATAATTTTTTTAAATTTCCCTTTTGAAATTTATAAAAAAAAACATTAGTGGCTTTGATTTTTATCTTACTCCCTAGTGCTGATATAGACAAATTTGTGCCTATACCTGAGATTCCTTTTATCATGACCTAGAAGGTTTTTTTTTAACTAAACTATTCCCCAGTCTTCACCAGTCACTTTACTCCTTCATTTTAATCCTTATCATTGCAATAACATTAGGCATATATACATTTTCCAAATTGTTACTCAATCGATACAGGATGATTATGTCAATTGAAAACTGAAGGGGATATTCTAAGTAGCAACTTCCCAAGTTAAATTACTAGTCAAAAGCTAAGTGTTTTGACTACTATAATAAGATATACTCCTTCTACCAGAAAATTCTAGTTATTTTGACTTACTAAATATTTATTATACAGGTCTTCTAAACACTGTTGGGGCTACAGAAATAACTGAAATTCGATTCAGTCCTCAGTAACCTCATGATTTATTCAACAGATGGTGTTCATAAGACAACCACACAAAAGAACTTCCATGACATGCAAAATGTAATGAATGCAATGATTGAGGCATGAAAGCCTATGGCGATTCCAAATGTGATACACCCAGTTAGAGCACTTAGGAAAAGCTTCTTCGGAAGCAGTGGTCTCAACCATGGCTGCTCATTAGTCACACACTCTGGGCTTCAGAAAATTTCGATGACCAAACTTTAGCCCAGACCAAATAAATCAGAATTTCTCAGGCAAGTGGCCTGAGCATCAAGATTTTGTAAGTTCCTTTAGTGATTCCAATATGCAGCCCGGTTTGAGAATCATTGAAATAAAAGATGGGGTGAGGAACAAATAATTAGAACTCGATAATGAGAAAGATTTCCACTGAAAGGGGTGGAATATTGGAGCACTTGGAAGAACCCTCTCCTCATATAGATAACTTATTTTTATTCTCCAAACCTCAGCTTCAGTACAACATTCACTAAAAAGCTTTGCCTGACTCCACCAAGGATAATAACAATTAATAAAGGTAATAAAAGCTGACACATTTTATAGCCCTTGCAAATGATAAGTACCATTCTAGGCACTTTAAATATATTTCAATATTTGATCCTCCCAGCAGGGTTAGGACAGAAATAGCATTAGTATTCTTATTTTATATGAAAGGAGGATAAATAACTTGACAAAGTTCACAGCTGAGAGTGGCAGAGCTGGGATTCAGACATTGCATAAGGACTCAGAAACTCTTCTGAAGCATGACTAAGTGGAGTTAGATGCCCTTATCAAGACTCTCACAGAACCCATGTGATACCACAGATCACATTATAGTATAAATGTTTGCTAGATTTTTCTCTTCTGCGAATCATGCATTCAATAAATGATTATTGAGTGTATTCTCTGTGCCAGAAAATGTGCCTGTTACTAAAAATACAAAGTTTCTTGTTATATTTTATCTGTGGAAGAATTTTAGTTTATAGCAGAGGTTGGCGAACTAAAATTCACAGGCCAAATTCTGCTGGCCACTTGTTTTCATAAATATAATTTTTTGATCCATGCTCATTGGTTTATTATCTACAGTTTTTTTTTATGTTATGACATCAGAAAGGAGTAGTTGTGAGGGTGATGATCTGGCAGCAAAATCTAAAATTTACTGTCTGGTCCTTTGTAGTGAAGGTATTCCATCCCCTGGTCTAGAGAATCATACAAATAAGAAAATCACCAATGATTAAAATAAGGTACACGCCACAGTGCCCAATACACTGTGGGAACATAAAAAGAGAGATGTCTACATTAGGTTGGAGGGTCAGCAAAAGTTTTCCAGAAGACCTGGCTGGTGTGGCTCAGTGGACTGAGCACAGGCCTGTGAATGAAAAGATTGCAGTTCAATTCCCAGTCAGGGCACATGCCTGGGTTGCAGGCCAGTTCCCAGCAGGGGACACATGAGAGGCAACCATACGTAAACATACATTGATATTTCTCTCCCTCTCTCCTTCCCTTCCCCTCTAGAGACAAATAAATAAAATTTTTTTAAAGAAAAAAGTTTTCCAGAAGACATGCTATTTGGTCTAGTTGTGTAAGGCTGAGGAGAAAACCAGCCTTAGACTGGTTTTCTTAGAAAACCTTACACAAAGAAAACCAGCCAGACTTGTCAGCAAGTTCAGGCAGGAAAGTACAGTGGTGATCCAGAAAGCAAGAAAATGGCAGCTGGAATAGAGTTGCTATGTTTCATATATACTAATTAGTGCCACAGAATTTATGAAAATACATTTCATAAATGTATTTGATGAAATGTCTTTGATGTCTTCATTTTCTGCTATGTAGTACTGCTAGTGGTGCTTATAATTGAAACTCATCAAATATTTGTTAACAGAAAATATAAAGTCCTACGCAAAAGATGTTTATTTTAAAAGGGAAGAAAATAGTTACCTTCTATTAGTTCTTAAAATCATTGAACTATAAGAATTATGATTTTTTACCCACTGTGGTAGAGTAAAAAAAAACTACCACTTTTTCATTGTTTTCCATTGTGTGGGTGACTATATCTATTAACGATGCAGTTTTACAAATGCGAAATGGTTGCAATATACTCTACCTGGAAAATTCATAGGCAGTTCAAACGGTTGTGGAGATTCATGACCTTCAATGTGCTCACAAATTTCGGCTATTATTTTTTTAATTTTGAGACCAGTAATTTTAATCACTTCTCCTGTTGACAAACAGCATTCATTTCCAAACATTTCATAAATAGAGCCTGAAAAAAGAAGAATAAAACAGTTCTTAAAGATGAATTAAATCATGAAAAAAAAGATAAGAGTCAAAAACCTCATATTAAGTGTTTTTATTCAGTTCCTCTTGTAGCTACCTACTAAACGGGAATTTAATCAAGCTCAGCAAAATGTACAGCATGTTCCAAGAAAAATATTAGATTTTTTACTTTATCCATTGAGCAAGGTAGAAACAATCTTATTTTTGTTATTTTTATAAATTGAATTTATGGTTTCCTCAGAACCTTTAGTTCATCTTCCAAGGTCAAACTACAAATATGTTCTCCCTTATTGGGATTTATGATCTATTTTTGCAGGGTCACAGAATTAACTTCATGTGAGTCAACAATATTCTAAGTAAATACTGCAAACACAGTTGTGATACAATCCAAATCCAAAGACAGAGGGTCTGCACAGTAGGACTTTATACCAAGAGCATTGTATCTATTTCTTGACCTGGTTCTCTTCATCATTGTGCATGTAAGACTTCTTTTCATTTTCTCTCTTGATTTTTGACACATTTGAAACAATATTTTTATGGCAATAGGGGGCGGACCAGTCCAGATAAACTGAAAAGCTTCATTTTAGTTCAGGATTTCAGTCTCCTTCCTAGCAAACCTTTTATCACAGATGTTAGAGTAAGCCTTTCACTCATTTATTTTCCTTTCTTATCTCCTGGTGGAGGAAGAGCAAGCAGTGAAGTGACAAGAAGATGAGCAACAGAAAAAAGAAGAGGCGAAAATTCTGGATGATCTACCCCTAGTAAAAATGGAACAACCCCAAAACTACATCTTTGGGATATTATCAACTTACAGTTAAACAGTAAATAAACTGGTTTGATGTAAAGAAACATTATAAAACTGTAGCACTTAAGACATATCAATTTTCCCTTACCTTCAAAGATGATATGACAAAGATGATACCACCTTTACCACACTAACATGTGAACAACATAAACGTAAGATTTGAGGTTTGTTTTTGTTTTCCTAATTTTTCTCTATTGGACCCACTCTTCCTAGAATCTTGCCTGATATATAGCAAGCACCTAAAATATTTTTTATAGCATTAATGGTTGTCATAAAAGTTGTGGAGACTGACATACAATCTAGTTTAACTCTTTGATTGTATTAGAATCTCAACAGAAATTGGGGGCACACTCCAAGTAAAACAATTTGAGAAGGTTTTAACAAAGGGGTAATTTACACAGAGGCACAGTCCATTCTAGGCAATGCAAGAAGATAAATACCCTGATCTCACTGTTCTCCCTCCATATGATCCTCTGCCAGGCACCTCACTGGCCAGAATCAGCCAGAAGCCAAGGGACAAGGGAGGGGCTGATGAGCCCACAGGAGAGCGAAATGAAAATCCAGCACACCACACTTAACGTCCATTATTTAATAAAGACCATTTTGGCAGACATGCTGGTGTATCTGTTCCTCAACTTTTAGTATATATTTCCACAGATCCCCTATTTTTTCATAGTCTTCCCTTAACTACATGTGTTCATCCTTTTCATTAACTCTAAGACATAGCCTTGTCAGCCATCACAAACCCTTTGTAGAAAAAGTTGAGATAGCAAAAAATAATAATAAATTCATAGTGACAGTTTCCTCCAGTGAATTCAGAATAGTTCATTTCTATGGTTTTCATTTGGCAATTAATTGCATACTAACATTTTACATCTTCAGTATTATCTCATCCTGTACTTAACTTTTTATGACTTTAGTTTTTGTTACTGCCAATTCAATTTCAAGCTTTATGAAAGGAAATATTGCATTATATTGTTGCATAAATATAACATACCAACTTCCCTTTTTCATTTAAAACCTACTATGTACCAGGCATTGTGATTGACAGTTGGCATCAAAGATAAAATGCACAATCTCCCCCCCCCTCCCAACAGAAGCACTGTGTTGAAGGGAACAGGCAAGTAAGCAAACACTGAAACAGATCATGAGAGAGTTATAATTTAAGGAATACAAGGCATTGTGGGATAATACTGGAGACATTTAATTAAGAAATTACATGAGAAAGAGATTAGAGAAGGATTCCTGGAGGAGAAGACAGCTGAGCTGTTTCAAAGGAAGCCTGACAAGAAGTCAGGGCAGGCAGAGGCAATAATATTTGAAAGGTCACTGAGATGTGATACATTCTGGAAATTTCAAGTAGCTTGTTATGTCTCAAATATAAAGTAGAAAAAGGGACTTGGTAAAAAAAGAAAAAGAAGAAAAAGACAAGCAAAGTTGAGGGCATCTAGATCATGCAGCATCTTTATGAAATCATCAATAAAGTAAAAGGCCAATAAAATCCTGAAGCAATGTCAAAATCAAAGGATCTACATTCTCTGTTACCAGGGTTTAGGAACTAATACCAATTTAATGAGAGGTCATATGTATCAAGGTGCTTGTTATCCAGAGTCTAATCTATAGCATCACATGGGAGCTTGTTAGAATATTGGCCAGACCCCAAACCTGCTGAATCAGAACCTACATTTTTAACAAGGCCCCCAGATGATTCATAAGCACATTAATGTTTGGAAAGCACTGGCCAAGGCAACAAATGTACAACTGAAATAGTCTCTGTTCTGAGGTTGTTGTAGCAATAACTGGATAGGGAAGACCGTGCCCTGTAGAGGAAGCATTCAGTGTCACCGAGGTAAAGGATGTTGAAAATGGAAACAAGAAAAGGGAAAGATTTTACGTAGGTAAGTGATATGGTAAGACTTTTCTTTGTCACATAAAATAGAACATAATGTAACCCAGTTCATTTTAGCTGAAGTCTGTTGGGCTTAATTGCTTAATTTCAATGCAATGAATGTCTAATCGTAGATGTATATCAAGCTGACTGACTTGGAACGTCAACCTTTGCAAAAGCTCCACTGGAAAACTGAAAGATGAATTTATGTGACATTATATAACAAGTCATAGAGAACAGAAGCCAGAGAATTCTATGAGAAAATTCTGGGAGTTTTAGTCAACACACAAAAATCTTCTTACTCTTCAGGTCTCATTCCAAATGTGTTACTCCTTTAGAAAAAAGAAAATCACTTCTTTCAGTCGTAAAATGAATAGAACTTCATTAAAAGACTAATCTTTAACATTGATCAATAATTCTTTGCGGCTCTAATTTTCTCTAACAAAGAAAGCTGTTAATCCACTTTCAATAAAGAGAATGTTAGCCATACCCAATACTAGAAATGCATGTTCATGATAGACAAGAAGAAGACAAGAACATATCCGAACTTGAAGAGGTATTGTACTTTATCATCAACGCAATGCCTCTTAAGATATACTTTTTTTCCTCAGAAAAACTACAAAATGGTTTATTTAAAAAATAGCCAACTTTCATAATCTCAGAACAAGCACATATAATATGTATAAATGCCCTTTAAAAACTTGTCGAGATGAGTGTCCAAACTATTTGTGTGTATACAGATATTAAGCTTGTTTTTATTTCATTTTAACAAGACATGTATTTTGAATATGCAAATCTATTCAATCTTTACAGACTAATTCTTTCCAAGTCAATAGCATAAGTATTCAGGACAGTGCCAAACATCAGAGAGTACTAGAACAAAGCGGCCTGTTGCCAGTGATCAAACATTCTCCCTGAAGACTGTAATGAAAGGCCCACGTGCCTTTGAAATCACCTTCTCTAATGCTACTTTGCACAACAGAAATGACACATTAATACCCTTTTATGAGCTCATCTCTTATTTGACAATTCATATAAGCAATACTGTGATCACATCAGAAGAGCCAAAACAATTGGTTCAATAGATGTTTTTCCATTTCCTCTAAAAGTTAAAAATGTATGGTAGTCAGTGCAGAAGAAACCCATCTCAACCATTCCTAAAGATTCAGCTCATATTCCTGGTCTCTTTTAAACCTTCCTTGACCCCCACACCTAAGTGAGAATTAATTTTCTCTTGTGTGTATGTGTCTCCATCATAGACCTGATGTGATTATTACTGCAGCCCGCTATTAGGGCATTGTTTTCTAACCCTTGATACCATGCATATTTTGGAATTTATTATGAGTTCCTGGAGAAAGCTATTTCTTAACTGTATTTATACTTGTCCTCACATACACACTGCTAGTAACACAGTTTTTGTCACTTAGTAGATTTGTAGTAAATGTTGAATTATATATTAGCTTTACATAAAATGACAGTAAGTAATTTTGAATATAGTAGTAGTCCTTCTACACCAGCAGTTTAAAGCATGGGCAACCCAAAGCTCTAGCATGGGTTATATTTTCATCTGATGTTTCATATCAAATGCACAAGCACATGTGAGAGTAGCTGGCCACCCTCTGAACTACCTATACAAGGACCATTAGGATAGGCAACTCTATATTATGAATCTCTGCTTAAGTTTGCTACTTTACAATTAGGTTTTTATATTTCTGGACTTGGACAAGAAGTGAAGTGATAGAAAGAAATGATCTGATATAGGTTTGGAGGAGTTAAGATTGCATCTGTAAAGTTTGCTGGGTATTGTATTACAGTGTATATAGAACCACATCAGATTGGGTTGCCAGCAGAGATGTATCTTTAATCATCATAGTTAGATATAATTATTCTTTCCAATGTAGTGAAAAAAAACAAGCATGAAACAGCAAGCTTGCAGCTTTCCTAGAGGCTGATTCAACTACTTAGATATTGGAGTTACCACAGAGAGGTATATCTGAACATGGTAGAAGATGATCTTTCAAGGTCATAGACACTCTCTTACTCCACCTCTAAAATATCAATGCAAAAGACAGCAAAACACTGGCCTTAGGTAGTAAGAGAAATGTCCACACTAAGAAGAACTAAGGTATAATCTCTCTTATCTTTAAAAATATAGGGCACTTCTTGTATGTTGGGGATTTAAATGTTATTCAGAAAGTCAAGCTTAAAGACAGAAATGAGCTGGAGACTGCGGTGAATGTTGGTGAGTCTTAAGAAGTCTGAATATGGGGAAGCGATGAAAGCCACAACAAGT